TTATCGGGTCTCTGTGAGGTCTAATGGGTCTTCTGTATGATTGTTATGGGTCTGCTGTGTGAGTCTAATGGGTCTCTTGTATGAGTTGTATGGGTCTCTGTTGTGAGTCTATGGTCCTCTGTGTGAGTCTATGGGTCTCTGTGTGAGTGCTAAGGGGTCTCTGTGTGAGTCTATGTGTCTCTGTATGAGCTATGGGTCCTCTGTGTGAGTGTATGTCTCTGTGTGAGTCTATGGTCTCTGTATGAGTGCTATGGTCTCTGTATGAGTCTATGGGTCCTCTGTGTGAGTGTATGGGTCTCTGTGTGAGTCTCTGGGTCTCTGTATGAGTGTATGGTTTCCTTGTAGTGAGTCTATGGGTCTCTGTGTGAGTTATGGGTCTCTGTGTGAGTCTATGGGTCTCTGTGTGAGTCTATTGGTCTCTGTGAGGTGTATGGGTCTCTGTGTGAGTCTATGGGTCTCTGTGTGAGTGTATGTCTCTGTGTGAGTCTATGGGTCTCTGCTGTGAGTCTATGGGTCTCTGTGTGAGTCTATGGGTCTCTGTATGAGTGTATGGGTCTCTGTGTGAGTCTAGGGTCTCTGTGTGAGTGTATGGGTCTCTGTGTGAGTCTATGGGTCTCTGTGTGAGTCTATGGGTCTCTGTGTGAGTGTATGGGTCTCTGTGTGAGTCTATGGGTCTCTGTAGGTTGTGTCATGTGTGAGTCATGGGTCTCTGTGTGAGTCTATGGGTCTCTGTGTGAGTGTATGGGTCTCTGTGTGAGTGTATGGGTCTCTGTGTGAGTGTATGGGTCTCTGTGTGAGTTATGGGGTCTCTGTATGAGTTATGTCTCTGTATGAGTCTATGGGTCTCTGTGTGAGTGTATGGTCTCTGTGTGAGTCTGTGTCTCTGTGTGAGTCTATCTGTCTCTGTGTGAGTGTATGGGCTCTGTGTGAGGTCTATGGGTCTCTGTAGTGAGTGTATGTCTCTGTATGAGTCTATGGGTCTCTGTATGAGTCTATGGGTCTCTGTGTGAGTCTATGGGTCTCTGTGTGAGTGTATGGGTCTCTGTGTGAGTCTATGGGTCTCTGTGTGAGTGTATGTGTCTCTGTATGAGTCTATGGGTCTCTGTATGAGTCTATGGGTCTCTGTGTGAGTGTATGGGTCTCTGTGTGAGTGTATGGGTCTCTGTGTGAGTGTATGGGTCTCTGTGTGAGTGTATGGGTCTCTGTGTGAGTGTATGGGTCTCTGTGTGAGTGTATGGGTCTCTGTGTGAGTGTATGGGTCTCTGTGTGGGTTTATGGGTCTCTATGTGAGTCTATGGGTCTCTGTGTGAGTGTATGGGTCTCTGTGTGAGTGTATGGGTCTCTGTGTGAGTGTATGGGTCTCTGTGTGAGTCTATGGGTCTCTGTATGAGTGTATGTCTCTGTATGAGTCTATGGGTCTCTGTATGAGTCTATGGGTCTCTGTGTGAGTGTATGGGTCTCTGTGTGAGTGTATGGGTCTCTGTGTGAGTGTATGGGTCTCTGTGTGAGTGTATGGGTCTCTGTGTGAGTGTATGGGTCTCTGTGTGAGTGTATGGGTCTCTGTGTGAGTGTATGGGTCTCTATGTGAGTCTATGGGTCTCTGTGTGAGTGTATGGGTCTCTGTGTGAGTGTATGGGTCTCTGTGTGAGTGTATGGGTCTCTATGTGAGTCTATGGGTCTCTGTGTGAGTGTATGGGTCTCGTGTGAGTGATGGGTCTCTGTGTGAGTGTATGGGTCTCTGTGTGAGTGTATGGGTCTCTGTGTGAGTGTATGGGTCTCTGTGTGAGTGTATGGGTCTCTGTGTGAGTGCTATGGGTCTCTGTGTGAGTGTATGGGTCTCTGTGTGAGTGTATGGGTCTCTATGTGAGTCTATGGGTCTCTGTGTGAGTGTATGGGTCTCTATGTGAGTCTATGGGTCTCTGTGTGAGTGTATGGGTCTCTGTGTGAGTGTATGGGTCTCTGTGTGAGTGTATGGGTCTCTGTGTGAGTGTATGGGTCTCTGTGTGAGTGTATGGGTCTCTGTGTGAGTGTATGGGTCTCTATGTGAGTCTATGGGTCTCTGTGTGAGTGTATGGGTCTCTGTGTGAGTGTATGGGTCTCTATGTGAGTCTATGGGTCTCTGTATGAGTGTATGGGTCTCTGTGTGAGTGTATGGGTCTCTGTGTGAGTGTATGGGTCTCTATGTGAGTCTATGGGTCTCTGTGTGAGTGTGTGTATGTACGTTGAACTTCTTTCGCACGTAGCCAGCCGTGCTAATCGGACAAGAAACTAAACACACCAAAAAAAGCAAATCTAAAGAAACGAGTTCTCAGTCTTGTGCTATGAAGATGGGCCACTTACCGAAACGTCGTCCCGTATATATTTTCCACTTTAAGGCGGCAGTGGTATTCGACGGTCATGCTGAGGACTGTGTCGTCGTCTTCGTTGTTGTGCTAATTGTTGCGATCGCAAACAATGCCACCAAATAAGCGCCGCACGTATTCGAACGCACGGTTGGACAACGTACGGCGCGAAATAAGTTCAACACCCCCGCACGCACACGCGCACGCACGCACGCACGCGCTTTCTTTTCTTTCTCACAAATACCGGCGAGTTTAGCGACCCCTAGCGGCCACGGGAATGGCCGCAGCCGCTCGACGCGATACCGAGGAACCGTCACACGCACGCGCGTGTTGTCGATGTCACGTCCAGTTCTCGCGAACTTGCAAGAATACATGAGTAGGTTTTTTCACCCTTTGTGGCAATTAAACAGGTGTGTTAAGATCCATAATAGAGGGGTGCGTTTTTTTTGTGGCGTTAGATCGCGTAAATATATAAATGTGTCGTTAAACCCGCCACCACCGGACACAGCTATAACTAGTAAGGGTTGTCACGTGAACAGTACGTGGCCAATTCGTCACTAGTACAGCACACCGGTGTGTGTTGGAGAGCCAAGCGACAACATTTACCATCCGAGTACGACGTTTCGCCAGTCATTACAACTAGCTTCATCAGGCTGTGCTAGTGACGAATTGGCCGTACTTACTCTGGTGCTTATAAGGGTGGCCTAGAGTCAGGACACATGGGATTATTATAAAGTCAAGAAACATAGGGTAATTTTATTTAACACTGGCATTAAGACATTTAAATTGTTAATTATTTAAGGTAATATTTTATCTATAATCATTAAGGTAAAAAAAAGTATTCCTTTTCAGATGACATTTAAAAATGTAAAGAAAATGTACTCATAAGCCGAACGATTCAATTCGTTATGTGTTCTAAAGAAGGTAGCTGTAATATTTTTTAAAAAGTCCTAAATTCATTTAAAAATAATCATTCGTTGCACCATTCATTCATGTTGATGATAGTCAGTTTGAACGTGAAAATTTACCAAATATCCCGATGTGATTTGATGAAATAAATATAACCCTGTGTCTTGACTTTTGGGTCACCCTGTCTCTATCTTTTACTTAATTAATATTTCCGTTTCGCAAAAACCCAACATTCTTTGGGAGTGTTTTTGCAAAGCTCCACGCCCTCCACTAAACTTTTTCTCACGACAGGAGTGTTGGCAGCATCATTGCCGCGGAGGTATCAAACGCGGCGTGGTGGTGGTGGCTGGGCCGGCTCGTTTAAAGAAAAAAAATCATGAAAAATATCGCGGACGCGATACCATCACTCGTGTTCTCCCCTACCCCAGACGCGTTAGGGGGGGGGCTCCGATCGGCTCGACCGGAGAGCGATGACTTTGCAGCGTGCGCCGTGCAATCTAAAGTCGAGACAATGCAAGGGCAGCAACGGGGAGGGTCGTTTGCATTTTTTTTGTGTCTGGGCGCCTCCGTTCAAATTAAATGCGGCGTGCGCTGATTTTTTTTCCCCCTTCCCAAATCCCACGTCTGTGTTTTCAAAAGCGCTGTGAACATTCCTCAAATGGCTTCATGTTTAAACCCGGCAGTTCGGGAGGGGGTGAGTAAAAAAAAACCACAACAGCCAACCACAATCAAGGCGTGCCGGCGTCTTTTGAGAACGCGCGCGAGTTTGCTGTTCGTTTGCTCTCCACTGGGTAGCGAATCCAGAATTCACAACTCGGGGGTCATTCTTGAGTGGTATCCCCCTCTGATTGGTGGTGGGGGCTTTCTCTGGGTGGGGGTCGCCCGATTGCAGGACGTCTGCCAAAGCGAAGCAACGGTGAAAGGTGCTTCAATCACCCAGCCTCTTGTCCGCCGTGCGGTCGTTCGGCAGGTCTCGTGCGGCGAGGTAAAGTGTGGGTAAACTGCCCCCTCTTCTAAGATCCGAGACGTCTGGCCGGTGTGGAAGAGTAGGCCAAAACTCACTCGACAACTCCGTCTCGGTTGCGGACCTTGCCACCAGCATTGCGGAGCAAATAATTTTAGGGCTGCACTTTTCATCTTTTCACTTTGGCTTCCTCCTCCATGAAGCCAAATTTAAAATGATTCTATGAATAAGAGTAAATACTCTTATTCATAGAATCATTTTAATTTCAATGCCACTGTCCAAACAAACCAGTGTTGACGGGTACTCCGGATGAGGCAGGAATTCTGCAAAAATTCCCGTGCGTCGCTGCAGCACAGGGTTGGGAGAGGAAACACACTTCGAGACGCAAGCACGAGAGCCAGCGATGCTTCCCGTCTATTCCCAAGCCTATCCTGAGTTGTGAGCATTCGCCCACTCCCCCCCCCCAACAGGAGGGGAGGGGTCCCCCGCGTCGAGGAGGCGGCGGTGTGGGAAAAAGTGCGGGGCTTGCAAATCCCAATAACAACAAAAACAAACACCCGGCCACAAACAGCCCCTTCCGGAGATTGCATTCGGGGCGAGACGAGGCTGCGCTTGGCGTTTTAATTTAAAAGTCGCTCCAACGGCTACCGGGGAACGTGAAGAGAGACGGAGAGAGGAGAAGAAGAAAAGAGACGAGCCGAGAAGCCGAAGCGTCCTGATGCTGCTCCCCCCCCACCTCTCTCCCCGAGTGGAGATGGAACAAAGCGACGACGATGAGACGAACGGGAGGTGTGCTCCGGCGTGGAAACCTCGTCGGTGTTTATTGCGACGTTCGGTCGACACACGGTGGGGGGGGGGCGGCGGGGGGCTTCACGTCAGTCAAACACAAAATTGCCGCTGTCGCAGATCCGTCGCCGTTCGTGAATAATTAAATACATAGATCCCACATCACAAGTATGTCAATGAAACCGTGCGTGCGATCGTGGGCAGCAACCCCCCGCCCCCCTTGGTGTGTCCCACTCACGGCCAACACCGGTCAAGGATTATCTGAACTGGTCCCGGGCCTCCCTAGGTCAACTCGGCCTCAAATGAGTACCCGGTGCGGTGTGTAAACATCGCCACTGGGGAGACAAAGGCGGTCGGGCATGGCGCTAGCCAGCCCCCCCCCCCTCCATGTGCTGTGCCGGCCTTCGAGGGTGCTACTCGCCAACAGCACTTGCCCCAACAGTCCTGTTAAAGCTATACGGGGGATCTTTGTCTTTGTGCGCACCCAACCCAGCTTGTAAACCAAACCCATTGCTATCCACCTGCACCACAACGTACACGCGGGCAAGCTGAAAAAAGGCACCACACTCATGGGCACGAGTACGAATATACGCACATAAATGGTTGCTACGAAAGCCTCGTGACCAACTATTGGTCACGTTTCGTGGTGGAAACGCACTCGTTCCTTAGTTTTAGCATTTAAAAAAATTAAATATGAAAAAGTCGGCCGAACGCTGCTCAATATAGTGAGGCCAATAGTGTGGGCCATTTGTAAAAAATTACTTTAAAACTAAACTATAAACTATTTTTTCTTTTACCAGGTAAGGCCCCACTCTTTTTCAGAAGTGACCTGGCTGCAAATAACAGCTCAACGAAGTGGCTTATCGCGTGGAAATTTATAGCAGCCAAAGTCTCTAAACGCGTGACGTTGATTCTAAATGTGGAGGGAAAAACCGGAGGATCCGGAGAAAAATCCACGCGACCACGGGGAGAGAGACACACAAACTCCAAATATACAGGCGTCAGGGTCAGCATCGAACCCACGACCTCCTGTATTACCAGGCGAGGTAGTTCACATCGGCACCTGCTAGTCCAGAAGAGCCGGCAAACACAGCCATCGGTGAGTGTGTCCGAGTAACAACCTCCGCCTCGCTCTTTTCGCAAAACCAAACTCCCGATCATCATCTCAATCACACACCGACTGGACGCCAATGAAAGAAAAGTGAAACCGAACCTCCACATTTACAAAATGCCTCTGCTCTAGACGCACCTTGAATAAAAAACGAACTGGTTGAAAACCCGATCGGTGAATGGGACACATTCATTGCCCATCGGATAGCTTCCGCGATACTCCGATGGGTTAATTTGCGGAGCGTGCGTGTTACAGAGCTCAGATGTTTACCATGGTAGGAGTGTCGGACTCTGAAAAGCCGTTGTCAACACTGTGGCCCCATTGCCAATGCTCTGTTTACGTATCATATCGTATACGTATCATATCGTTTATGTATCGTATTGTATACATATCCTATCGGTTGTCACTCGATGACAAGGATCACCAATTGAAGAGGAGGATTGAATTCTCATTGAGTTTCTCGCTCGGTAAAATCAAAAGGCCAACGACCAAAGTGCGGAGGATTAACGATGAAAACCGTCCACGCAAAAGCCAGGCGAGATGCGTCTCCGGACGGACGACGCTGCCCGATGTTCCGCCGGTGGTGAGAAGGATCGCTCGCGCGCAGCCACACGGACGTTCAGCGGCGCGTGAGCAACGGAGGGATCAGCGAGAACAAAAGGGGCCACTAGCGCCATCCACCGCGATCGAGATCCCGGTGTGGGGGGACGCGGGATTAGGCGGCGAGGTTCACTTCCAATTTTTATACGAATGTTGTCGTCATCGTTGCTGACGGCGCCGCCTTTTTCCACCCACTGCTCGAAGTGCTCCGGGCGCGGAGCGCGCGCTGGAAAACTACCGCTGCATGAGACATCGTAGAGCTACTTTGGGGGCGGGTGGGGCTGGTGCTGGTGGGGGAGGAGAGGAGAGACCGGTTTCTACATTTGTGTCCCAGTCGGTACCGATCACGTGATATCGTCACACCGGTTCCACGCTCGCCTGCCGGGTGAACGCGAGCGCGGCGGGAAAGTTTCCTTTCACGGTTTGAAAATAAAATGAAAAAACGATCGCGTGTGCATCTCCCTCCTGGTGGCCACCGCCTTCCCACTATTTCTCCTCGTTGTCGATTCCGTCCACGAGGAGTTGGGCCCCATTGCAGGCAACGCCGTTGCTCGCGTGGGCGACGCCGTTGCTCGCGTGGGCGACCCCGTTGCTCGCGACCCCGTTGCTCGTCCAGGAGCTCGCAAGTTTGCCGACCTTGAGGCCGGTGCCCCTGGCCGGGCTGGGCAGCTCGGCTGCCCGCTTGTACTCCAGCTGCATGTGGTTCTGCGGGGGTAGCCCTACGCAGGCGCTGTTGGTGGGCAGGGGGGGATGTGGGGAAAGAGAACGGGGCAGCGGGGCGGGGAAGGGGGGAGACGCGGTTAGGCGAAGAGACGATGGTTCGTCGGCGAGCGTCTGGAACGGAAACCGATTTTGGTTGCGAATTTGAGCTTTTCGTTTTCAACGTTTCAGTTCCTCGCTTTGCGCCAGGTTCCTCGCACACGTCCAGGTGCGACGGCAGCGGAGCCGGTTTGTAAATCGAGTTTCGTGAATGCGCGCGATTTGGGGGACCGCGTTGCATTCCATTCACCCGACCACAAACCAGCGATAGACACGCAGACTTCGCATTCCTACCAACTTCACAGATGGCCGGCCCTGTGTACAGCGCAACATACAATCCCAAACGAAAAAGCCGTTCGATTTCTGTTTTTAGTTGGGAGGAGGGATTGTGTCTTACTGTCCACCATCAAAAGACCGACCGACAAATATCCCCGCTGGAGCCATATAGGTTCTTGGGGAAAGTGCTGTTTGCGATACACGAGGGAGTGGGTGGCCAGCACCATGCCTGGCCGTCTTTATCTGCCGAGTGGCGATGTTTTTACACACTGTCCCAGGTACTCATTTTAGGCCGAGTCGACCTAGGGGAGGCCCAAAACCGGTTCAGATAATCGTCACCGGTGTTGACCACGAGCGAGAATCGAACTCGTGGGCTGGTTTCGTAGCGTGGCACGCCAACCACTGCACCACCACTCCTCCAACAAAGCTCCTGCATATGGCCTTTAGTAGACTGTTAGGGCAGGTCCTGTTAGCGAGCACCTACGAAGGCCGGCACAGCCTTTGTCTCGAGTAGTTTTTACACACTGCCCCAGGTACTCATTTGAGTCTGCGTCGACCTAGGGGAGGCCCATAAGCAGTTGAGATAATCGTCACCGGTATTGGGCACGAACGGAAATCGAGCTCAGGTCGCCGTGCTCGTAGCGCAGCGTTCCGACAGCCGCACCCCACCGCTCACCAGACACCCACGCGCGCGCGCATATATACACACACACACGCACGCGCGCGCAGACTCGCTCACCGGAAGATGTTCTCGATGCACGCGCGCTGGCGGAAGAGGGCGTTGACGACGGGCGCGCCGTGCGGCACAAGCGGCGCCTTGCAGAAGTAGGAGAGCAGCGAGAGCACCGGGTGGAAGGGCTCGAAGGTGGCGCCCGCGCGGCTGGACTCGCGCAGCGACACGCGCTCGCACAGCTCCGTCAGCAGGAGCATGTCGAGCAGCAGCGGGCTGGCGAGCAGCGAGTCCTGAGACGCACGCACGCACGCACGAGGACACGCGTTCAGTCATCCAGGCCGCCGGGGGGCAACAAAGTTGCTGTTTGTGTTTAGACCAGCGGCTCTTTTTAAGCTGGGGTGCACGCACCCACTGGGGGTGCGAGATATGCCCAGATTTTTGTGAGAAGGTAAATCATCGAAAGGCAAATTAAGCACGGGGCACGCAAGCACAGCTACGTTGTTTCATCAAACCCTAAGTGTTTATTAACATTTTCAAAAAAAATTACGATTGAGAATCAAATGGGCGCAAGGCTGCAGAGTAAAGGTTAAGCACCACTGGTTTAGACAGACGGATGTTTGACGACACTCGGACAAACTCGAGGGGTCACACGGGGGGGGGGCGGAGGTCAGATGTTTGGCTGCGCTTGCACAGAACTTGGCAGAGAGAGGGGGCCTTGGGAGAAGCGAGGAATGTGGGAGAGCGGAGGATGGGACGGGAGAGGGCGTCACCTCGCAGGTGTTGTGGATGACCAGGGTGTTGAGGCCGCCCATCATGATCTCGGACGTGTATTCGTCCATCGCGCGCTTGCTGTCACCCACGTACGGCACGTACTTGATCACCACCTGCACGGGCGTCGCACCGCACGCACAGAATCAACACAGCATGAGCACCTGCAGCCGCCACATTGGCAGCGATACTTCTATGGACAAAACATTGATTCAGATGTCAATAACTGTAGAGAGAGAGAGATCATTGTTAGATCCAATACAAAGGCAAAGATCCACCGTATAGCCTTAACAGACTGTTGGGGCAAGTGCTGTTAACGAGAACCTACGAAGGCCGGCACGACACACAGGGAGGGGATGGGTGGCCAGCACCGCGCCCGGCCACCTTTGGCTCCCTAGTGGCGATGTTTACACATCACACCGGCTACTCATTTGAGGCTGAGTCGACCTAGGGGAAGCCCAGGACCGGTTCTGATAATCGTCACCGGTGTTGACCGTGAGCGGGAATCGAACTCTGGTGGCTGGGTTTTTGCGCAGCGCGTTAACCGCTACACCACCGCTCCCCACTATCTAATGTACACACGCACGCGCACACACACACATACGAAACCACCCACGGGGCGGTCACCTGCTTGGCTAACGATGTCGAACGAGAGGGGCTGGCAAGCGAGTGGGAGGGGGTGGGGGGAGGGGGGCGAGGAAGGGGGCGGGTGGCAGAGGTCGCAATCGGGTACCCGATACCCTGTACCCCTACCCGATACCCGGCTACCCGTACCCGGCCGGGTACGGGTACGGGTACCCGTTTGCGACCCTGGTGCGGCCGGGTACGGGTACGGGTAGACCGTGAGCCACTGGTGAGTAACCGTTTGTCACTCATTTCCCAAAGTCTTGTCTCTTCTCACAATTCAAGTTCCTAGAATCAACCCACCCGTGCCTGCAACATGGCTTCATCCCAGAGGTCGCAATCGGGTACCCGTACCCTACCCGATACCCGGCCGGGTAGCCGGGTATCGGGTAGGGTACGGGTAAGGGTACCCATTTGCGACCCTGGTGCGGCCGGGTACGGGTAAGGAATCAAAACCCGTTTGCGACCTCTGGCAAGTGGAGGGGAAACTCACGCAGTGGTCGGGCCGCTCCCCCGGCTGGTAGAGGAGGCGGTTGGAGTCCACCATGTCGTCCACCACGTTGCTCTTGGAGATCTCCTTGGAGCGGAACTGCTGGGGCGACGACAGGTTCTTGCCGTCGTTGTTGCCCAGGTGGTTGTAGCTCACGATGGATACCGGCTGCGGTGAGGAGGCGGGGGGGGGTGGACAGTTTTAGTTTATTTTGGAAGTGTCCTGTGACCTCAGGAGCTCTTGAAAATCGGGTTTCATCAAACAAAAAGCATCGGTTCCGTGGCAGAAAAAAACGTAGCGTGCTTGACAGGCCGCAAGAAAAGTTGAAATGCAAATAAAATACGCGATGAAGAAAAGAAAAGGCAACAAATCACAAATCTATATTACAAAGTTATATTTTAAATAGAAAAAACCCAAGTGAGGATTGTGATGAAAGAACATTTTACAAATGGGGCATACAAATGCAAGCGGTAAATAGTTTCCGTGACACAGGGCGCACGTTACGCGCGCAGACATCCGCTTGCCTAGCCGCTGGTCCGTTTAGCCGTGTGTCTCTCTGGTCGTTCTGTCCAACCGTCTGTCTGCCTCTGTGTCCCACCGGACTTGTGTGAAAAAGAGCTTGAAAGCTCATCGGATTTCTCCAGCTTAAATCAATATTCTGATTCTATGTACCTGTGTGCCTGCCTCCCCCCCCCCCCCCGATGGCTTGTCTTGTGTCTGCAGGTCTGTCCAACCTGTGTCATCTGTCTACCCGCCTGTTGTCTGCCTGTCCGTCTGTACGTCCTAAATGCCTGTTTGTCGACTTTGTCTAAAGGCCGCCCGCCTGCCTACTGTGTAGTTGTCGCCAGAGGGCGCTCTACAGCCATGCGTTGCGATAAACTGCAAAGTTAAAAGCAAAGAAATGCAAACATCGGTTAAGCCATTTCTCAATCCACCGTCCAATGACATGACTCCGAATTCCGTGGCAGCCATTAAGGGCGTTTTAACTACACTTTACCACGCTGGTAAGGGGCCGTCCATAAATGACGTCACGCGAATTTGGACGATTTTTGACCCCCTCCTCCTTCGTCACACGGCGTAACAAAAAGTCAGACCACCCCTCAAATGACGTCAAGCTCTGCCCCCCCCCAAAATAAAACATGCTTCAAATCGCTTTAAACTATTGTCATTGTAGTGCGTATTTAATGTGGCAATGCACTCTGATGTTGTAGGAGAAAACATTTATTAAAAAGTCTCTTTAATTAAGTAGAACGTTTTGTCTATATTTATTTAAAGTTGCGCATTTTGATGTGACGTCACATTTCTCAACCCCCCCCCCCCCTCGTCACACATCGTCACAAACGTCTGACCCCCTCCCCCCCTAGGTGCGTGACGTCATTTATGGACGGCCCCTAATGTCGCACTAATATCAAACTCTTCGTCCTTTAACTTTTAATTACGCTTCCTAATTTAATGCGCATTTAAATATATCGGCTGCCATGATCTTCACGCGGACGACTGCCTGTCTGGTCTGGCTGTCGAAGAACGGCACGATAATTAAAAGGGCCTTAAGCTCTCGAGACTACATTGCAATTCTCCGCTGCAACCCTCTAAAAACCTTGACATTCCAAAAGAAAAACCCCCTCTGACTTGGCAACCCCATTCGGGGCCATCCCCTTCGCGAAATCAGGTCACCATCGCGTTACCCTTGGTGGACTGCAGCCATTGGCCGGAGGCAGCCATCACCTGATAACCGTGGTCAGATGGGAGCCGGCCAATCGCCTTCCCTCGGAAGGGAGGATCAGGGGGAGGGAGCGGCTGGGTTCATGAGGGGTTGGCGAGGCGGGGTGGATGGGGTGGGTGGGGGGTGGACAGAGGCGGCTACGGGGGAACGGAGAGAGGGCCCCGGGGGATCGTGAATGCCGATTGCTGCAGATACATTTAGCGTGACTGCAGTCAGCTGTTCCCCCCCCAACTTTAACGACAATGAAAGTGTAAACGATCGCGATGGGCCGTTGGCGATTGACGTTGCCACACAGCGGCCTCACGATCAGCTCGCCTCTGTGTCAGAGGTCGCAACCGGGTACCCGATACCCGTACCCTACCCGATACCCGGCTACCCGTACCCGGCCAGGTACGGGTACCCGTTTGCGACCCTAGTGCGGCCGGGTACGGGTACGGGTAGGCCATGAGTCACTGGTGAGTAACCGTTTGTCACTCATTTCGGGTAGGGTACAGGTATGGGTAGGGAACGGCTACCCTTGCCCGGCCAGGTACGGGTACGGGTCCATTTGCGAGCCTGGTGCGGCCGGGTACGGGTACGGGTAAGGAATCAAAATCCGTTTGCGACCTCTGCTCTGTGTGCTCCTGGTCGGGATTTGTGTGTGTTAACTATTCAACTAAAACTATTCATCTGTGGCATTTCATGATGTTAACTTCTGGGGGTTTTAAGATGTTTGTGTCGCGGGTCAAAACGTTGGAAGTGTTTTGGGATGCAATTTGCATGAATGATGCTCTTGATAAAAAAAAGTATTACTATTAGTGGGGAGGCCTTCATCCAGCAGCGGATTGCCCAAGGCTCGCGGTGATAATGTAAATTACAGGGGCATCTTCTGTAAATGCGATCAAAAATTGTTTCTCCTTTGATAAATAAAAACATAATAGTAATAACGCTGACAAATATTTACCCAGGCAAGCTTGTGAGAGTCTCAAGACTGCTACATTGGGATGTTTGTCCAATGCCCCGAATGAGGCAAATAGAAGTGACCAGAAAAAACCCATCACATGTATGAGGGATTAACACTCCAAGCAACCGCACGGAGAGACTCAGTCCACAGCATCCCCACTGCTCTACGGCTGAATTCTGGTCACCTCGCAGCCGCCAGGTCCACACAGCACCCCTGGTGGTCACCCATCCAAACGCTAACCAGGCTCAAAACCTACTTAGCTTCTAAGATCTGATTGAGGATCCACAAATGATCAGTTCAACATTACAATGGAGTTCACCATTGGCAGGCCAGACAGGCCGTCAGACACACACAGATGAGGGCAGACGGGTGGATGGTATAAAACAGATGTAGACAATAAAACTATTGAAAAACTAAGTATTTTTATTTATTTTACCGGGTAAGACCCAATGACCTACACAGCTCTTTTTCAGAAACGGATGATAGCTTAATGAACTGGCTTATCACGTGGAAATTTATAGTAGCGGCCAAATACTCTAAACGCATGTCGATTCTAAACGTGTAGGGTGAAAAATACCGGAGGACCCGGAGAAATATCCACACGACCACGGCGAGAGAGAGACCACGGGGAGAGAGAGAGAGAGGACACGCAGACTCCAAATATACAGCAGGCATCGTCAGGGTCTGGCCCTCTCTCACCTTCATGCCGGCGCTCACGAGGAAGTCGACCAGCACCGACTTGAGCTTTGTCTGCCCCGACTTGAAGTCGTCTCCGCCGACGAAGACTCCGTGCTGCGTCGCGAGCTCCAGCACGCCCGGCACGAACGTGTTCTGCGGCGATCCGTTGATGTAGGCGCAGCCCTCCAGGATGGAGGCCACGGCGAACAGGCTCGACGGCGACACCTCGGACTCGTCACGCTGCGCAAAAGCAAAAAACAAAGCCAAGGTAAATTTAGCGGGCCGCGTTCGTCGATTGCTTCTCGAAGTTTCGGACTGATTATTATTTTTGCTTGTTTTTGTTATAAAACCAAGTGCCCCGACCGCACACTCATCGGAGAAGCCTCACGAGATGAAGTGTAGAAGCGTGCGTCACGCACCGCAGCGCCATAGCCCTCTGTGTTCGAAATCAAGATTGAAAACTCGTTTCTTTTAGGACTGCCTTGTTGCGTTTAGTTTGTCGTCCTTCCCTTCGCACCTCCGATTAGCGCGGTTTGGCCACGTACGGTGCGAAAGAAGATCAACAGATGAAGGGCACAAATCGGATCTCGCGCACAACAGCGCCATCACCCTTTGTGTCCAAGAAACGGCTCGCGGAAGCGGACATAACAGAGCTGCCTCCGGGATACCTTGTGCAAGGCCAGATTCCAATATTGGGCAGTGCTCTATTCGATCCATTGTTGGACGGACACACACTTAATAAAAACCGTGCCAATCCCTAAATCGTCGCGCACAATGCGGTATATCGCAACGGTGATGCGTTCCAGCCATTCCAACAAGATGTGAATCTGTGCAAGAAAATACCGCTCGTTAGATTTTTTTTCTTGAGCAGGTTTTAAACATACGTGGCAGCGTTTTGCTTCAGTCAACACCGGTGAGACACTTTCGGCCCGTGTTGGAGGTGCAATATTGATAGAGAGTTGTGCAACAGTCCATTGCGTCCATTCGCAAACCAGACGCTGCAAGAGTCGAGTCACCTGGCGGGCCAAGTGAACAACGATGTGTTTAAACTGTAGCTTCGTGGCGTGTGACGTCTGGCAAAGGGAGCAAAGTCCAGCGGTAATCTTACACAACGGGACATTTTAAACAAATTTTGTAATTGGATTGCATCCTGCCAGCAAGGGTGGGGATTTTGTGTGCGCTGGTGTGTGTGTGCATATCTGTGTGTGTGTCTGGCGAGCAGTAGCGCAGTGATTAGCGCGCCGCCCTACGAACCCGGCGACCCGAGTTCGATTCCCGCTCATGGCCAACACACCTTATCTGAACTGGTCCTGGGCATCCGCTAGGTCAAACTCAGCCTCAAATGAGTACCCGGTGCGGTGTGTAAGCAGCAACGCTCAGGAGACAAAGGCGGCCGGCCGGGCGTGGTGCTGGCCACCCACCCACCCACCCCCTCGTGCGCCGTGCTGTCCTTCATTGGTGCTACTCGCTAACAATCTGTTATCAGCTATAGCGGGTGGGGGGGGGGGGTCTTTGTCTTTTAGCGAGGTATCTCCATCTGCCCTGATGTCCGTTGGGCAAGCAAAGATAAGCGAACTCCGGGAGCTGGGTGTTGGTGCGTCGGGTACGGGGAGAAGGTGGCAGCTACCGCGATGGACTTCATGAGGCTGTCGCTCGTGTCGTTGAGTCCCGCGGCGACCTCGCAGAAGCGCTCCGTGTTGGCCGTCCACATGACGATCACCTTCTCCACGCCGCTCGACGCCTTGAAGTCGCGGATGTCTCGACGGAGCTGCTCCAGCTGCGGGCACACGCAGGACACACGGACGGGTTCAAAACCAAACTCGCGGCCAAGAGTAAGTGGAAAAGCGCCCCGCTTCCTCGGCAAATGGTCGCTGTCGTTCATTCATGAAAAAATATTTTTTGCCCGGAGAGAGAGGCCGTACAGGCTGACCACCATTTTTTAAAGGGAGGCCTTGGTAAAGCAAAGCAATGCAGTTTGCACGCGACGAGCTTGTCTCGAAAACAACAATCAATTGAACTTCTAACGCGCAACAGTATTCACTCGCTCTCTGGCAGAGAGCAGCTGTCCTATCCGATCCGAATCGATCCGATCCGGTCCTGATTTTCCCATCCGGGAGCCCCGCTCGCACCTGCTCGGCCTTGGTGCCGGGGATGAGGTTGTTGGCCCGGTCCTCCTGGTTGGCGGCGATGAACTCGGGCACGTAGATGGAGGCGCGAGGCCGCAGCTTCTCCATGTGGGGCCGCAGCTGCTCCTGGAGGCCCCAGTCCAGCACCTCGGCGCGTCGCATCGACTCAGCCAGGTTCAGCGACTGAGATGTCCCACCCTGCGGGCGACACGGCGTCACGAGGCGGGATGAGATGGGGGGGGGGGCGACGTTGAGATTATGCTTTGGAAATTTGGGCAGTCGCGCTCCTGACAATTAAATCAAGAAATTCGCCGGCTGGCTCCGCGGCAGAGCGAGCGCTTTCGCGTGCGCGAATTCAAAATCCTGCGCATCATATCTCTCCGGGGTCATTGATTAAACGAGTGCTGTTGTCCTATGGATAGACCCATCCTCGCCACGGCAATGTGGAATTTACACCGCTGGCTAAGAGCTGTAAAGAGGAGTCGAGCACAGCCTTGATGCCAATCGTGAACAGGAATTTGCGGACGGAGGGAAGGATTGAGGGAAGGATGGAGAGAGACAGAGACAGAGAGAGGTGCAGGCCTCGCCATCGGACACGATATCGTTGGGATGGACCATGGGAAGGAAGGATGGAGGGAAGGAGGATGGAAGGAAGATGAAAGGAAAGATGTATTGAGAGAGGGGCAAGCCTCACCATCGAACACGATGTCGTTGGGATGGACCATGGGCAGGAGGTCCCTGAAGGGAATGAAGACGTCCCCTTGTGGTCCCGAGCCCAGCGACACGGTCGACGACTGGAACACCGACCCAAAGTAGTTGGCGTGCTGCGGACACAAAAAACAACTGTTTGGTCAAACGACTCCTATCGGTTGATCAAAAAAAAGCAAGGACGCATGTGATGGATTGATGGAGATGGTGGCTGGTGGTGTTTGTAACGAGCAGAGCAAGAGGAATGACAGCAAAATTGCCACCGCGACAGAAATTCGTGTAATGCGGCGGTGGTGGCGGCGACGCTGGTGGTGACACTGGTGGTAGCGCTAGTGATAGCGATGGTGGTGCTGGTGGTGGCGATGGCGGTTCTGGCGGTGGCGCTGGTGGCGATGGCACGGGCGGCGTTGTTGGCTCACCTTGACGCCGGTCTTGGTGTTCCACGAGAGGCCGAGGCGGTTGGCGATCGTGGCAGCCGTCACGGTGGAGCCGTTGTTGCCGCCCCAGCCCACGAGCATGACGCCGAGACGCGGCACGTGGCGGCGCGTGCGGAACTCATACTCCTTGGTCTGCGGAGAAACCTGCGGCGAGACGGGCGAGAAAAAATCACGCGGCTGCTTCAAACGTCGTCATTATCATCATCGGTGGTGACACAGTGACAAGATGTTAACTCCCTCGCCTGGTATACAGGAGGTCGTGGGTTCGATCTCGAGCATAACACCTGCTGTATATTTAGAAAAGTTCAGTTTAGTTTTTTATCGCTTTCGTGCTTATATCTATTTTTATACCATTTACCTGTCTGCCCTGCTGCCTGTACCTGTCGACCTGTCTGCGTGTCAATGTGAACTCAATTGTAAAGTTGGGCTATATACAGGGTGCTCAAATTTTCTTTTTTACACTTACATGGGACTATCAAAAAGAAAAACAATTATCAGAAGCGTAAAAAAAAAATATGTAAGCAACCTGTACAGCTTAGTGGGCCTTAACTGGTAGAATAAAAAAATAGTTTTTTCAAGTTCGGTTTAGTTTCATCATCGCCACCGTTTGATGGCTCGTGTGGCCCGCGGCGCGATGAGGGTTGGCGGCTGGCCGGCGCTGCGCGACTCACGACGAGGCGTCCGTTGTGACGCGCCACGTGGCTCGTCTGGTACTGGTACACGGCCTCGATGTGCTCCTCTGTGTAGCGCACGTTCGGACTCTGCACCTGGAAAATCTCTGCCATCGTTGCGTATTCTTAGACCTGCACGCCACGCACGCACAAGGACAACATTCCAACCCTCCAGTTAGTTACTTGGGAACACAAAAAGGCAAAGGTTCGCCCAGTATAGCCTGACCAGGCTGTTGGGGCAAGTTCTGTTAGCGAGCACCTACGAAGGCCGGAACGGCACACGAAGGGGGTGGGGTGGCCAGCACTGCGCCCAGCCGCCTTTGTCTCCCCAGTGGCGATGTTTACCACACCGCACGAGGTACTCAATTGAGGCCAAGTCGATATAGGGGAGGCCCAGGACCGTTTCAAATAATCGTCACTGGTATTGGCTGTGAGCGGGCATCGAACTCGGGTCACCGGGCTCGTAGCGCAGCGTGCTCACCGCTGCACTAACGCTCAGCGAAAGAAACACACCCAGACACAACTCGCGCAGACGCACGTGGTGACCTCTGGCTCTGAGCCCACCATCTCGGAACTCCGTGGCAAGCTGTCAAATTGGCTGCGATTTCATCAAAGTATTCCAGTTATGCAATACCATCACCAACCAGTGTCTATATATACACAACGGAATACTGACATCAGCTCGCGATGCTACTGGGAAATCCCCATAATAGTATGTACACACACACACAATACACCGCGTGTATAGGATTGCAATTCCATTCCATAATCGATTAATCTTAGTATCGATTTCCTCACCTCTCCCCCCGCGACTCGTTTCTCACGTAACCGTTTGTAGTTTTGTTCGTCACCCTATCATCAGTCTAAACGCCCAATGTGCATATCGTTTGAATGTCGTCTGCATCGCATTATTTTTGCGTACGTTGGGAATAACCCGCGACTCGCACGGTGCGATGCACAGGTGTCGTTGCGCTGTTCGTGGCCGCATTCACCCAGCAGCGGATGGATCCTGGCGACGTGGTATGGGCATGAAAGAGATACCGACTGATAAGTGCAGTAATGCTATTTGTATCATCTAATAATAAATGCCAGAACCGCCCGCCCATCTGCACGCGATATGCAGCCGGGGGTAGGGGGGGGGGTGTTGTGACGACAGCACGCGCGATGCGGGTGACGTCACCACCGCACACTTGCCCGCCCGCTCGCCCGCCAGACAGCAAAACTTTTTTTTTGAATAATAATAAAACTGCACAGATATTATTTGTGTGCAGCGCAGTAGACGGACAACGTTAGCCGAAAGAGCTTGCCCACAGATGCACCAATTGTCAAATATTGATTTTGGCATTATTTGCCCATGAGCTATATCCACGGCTGTGATGAACGCATCTCCAAATCGAGAAGTCATTCCTCTTTAGATCTGTCCAGAGTGCGGCCCACTCCACCCCCGCACCTCCGATTAGCACGGTTCGCTTCGTACGGTGGCGAAATAAGTTCAACGTGCGGTATTGTTGTAACTGATATGGATGCATTACCAACCCCACCACCCCGTGGCATCCGCAGCTGTATGACTCACAAGAAGTGACATCACATTTATCACCCCCGCCCGCCCCCCTGTGTGTTTAAGACCGAAGCAGGAGGGATATCTCCGCAATTTTTGGGCTGTCCCGCCTGATGATGCTGGTTGTACTTGCGGGCACGTGACGGTATTTCGACTGTCAGCGCTGTGTGCTGTACTAGTGACGAATTGGCCACGTTCTGTTTACTTTACAAGATCTAACCCCCCCCCCCCCCCAAAAAAAAAAGCCTGTAGTATGGATACAGGAGTACATACATCGCAAGCCCTCACTATTCCATCACCACTCTCCCCGCGCTATCGACGGCCACTCTATCGTCAGATTCGGCATCGAACGCCTGCCCCATCAACCCTTTGTGCTCTTCTTACTTAGCGGCCACGATGACGTGTCCCTTGCACCCCCCCCCCCCCCCCCGAATAACCAACACCAATACCCCGGACATTTGAGGCTGTCGCGTGAAGTGTCGAAGGCTCGCTGCTGACAGGAGGAGGTCTCGGGACAGACCCAGCAATGTGTCAATGGGTCGGCTGACTGAGATGACCGGGCAGATGCACCAACTGTGACTCCTTACTGTGCCAGGCTAGGTGCAGGAGGTCACGGAACACACCTAGCAAGGTGCCACGGGTTGGCTGACCGAGATGACCGGGCAGATGCAACAGCTGTGACTCTTACTGTGCCAGGCTAGGTGCAGGAGGTCACGGGACAGACCCAGGTGCCATGGGTTGGCTGACCGAGATGACCGGGTAGATGCACCAGCTGTGAACCTTACTGTGCCAGGCTAGGTGCAGGAGGTCACGGGACAGACCCAGGTGCCATGGGTTGGCTGACCGAGATGACCGGGCAGATGCAACAGCTGTGACTCTTACTGTGCCAGGCTAGGTGCAGGAGGTCACGGGACAGACCCAGGTGCCATGGGTTGGCTGACCGAGATGACCGGGTAGATGCACCAGCTGTGACCCCTTACTGTGCCAGGCTAGGTGCAGGAGGTCACGGGACAGACCCAGCTGGTGCCAATGGGTTGGCTGACCGAGATGACCGGGTAGATGCACCAGCTGTGAACCTTACTGTGCCAGGCTAGGTGCAGGAGGTCTCCGGACAGACCCAGCAGGTGTCCATGGGTCAGCTGACTGAGATGACCGGGCAGATGCACCAGCTGTGACCCTTACTGTGCCAGGCTAGGTGCAGGAGGTCACGGGACAGACCCAGCAGGTGTCCATGGGTCAGCTGACTGAGATGACCGGGCAGATGCACCAGCTGTGACCCCTTACTGTGCCAGGCTAGGTGCAGGGTCACGGGACAGACCCAGGTGCCATGGGTTGGCTGACCGAGATGACCGGGCAGATGCACCAGCTGTGACCCCTTACTGTGCCAGGCTAGGTGCAGGAGGTCACGGTACAGACCCAGGTGCCATGGGTTGGCTGACCGAGATGACCGGTGGATGTCCTTCACGAGCCCCCTACCTCCATCATCACCACCACCATCACGGACGTTTCTCGAAGTTCAATAAACGACGCCTTTTGCTGTGAGCCTGCTCTTAGCACTGCGTAGTGCACCATTCCTGCCTGCCGGGTCGTACGGAGCGGCTATTGCGAGGTCAATAATTATTAGCGAGTTCCCCGTTTTAGTGTTTAAACATTACGCGTCCACGCGGCGAACTGTACTTGCGACATACTGTAACGGATGCCGAATTTTTTTTTTAAATAAACCTCCATCACCGACTTGTAGCCATCTCAAGAAATATGTCTTTGATACTGCAGGAAATCCGATGAGCCACGAAGCTATATCGATATTTTTTTGCGTTTGTGTTACGATCCGTGGCGTTCGTAAGCAAGCAAGTCGATCTCCAACACAACGCAAGGCGCAGTGGTTTGCCGCACACGTGTCCACGCACGATCTCTCTCCCTCCCTGTCTCTCTCTCTCTCAAGGATGCGAGGGTGGAACGATATGCGAACCCCGCCGTTACCTGTTCACGAAGGCGCCGACGGAGAACGCCGCCGGTTATCCGAGGAGCTCAAGACGCTCGCTTATCTGTGCACCACTCGAACGACGACGACGAGGTCGTTCCCGAGAGACGCTCCGAACGAAGGGCACAGAACGAGCGGGCAAATGCCGCGTGGCAATGCGCGCACACCGGCCGGGGCTAACTGGGCCCTCTGTGGTCACAACCAGCGGTGGTGAAACGCGAAACGCCGGCCGGTCGAACGGGTTCAAGTGACTGTAAGTCCGTGCCTTGTGGGAGTGGTGATGGTGGTGGGTGGGTAGGTGGGGAGGACCCGGAGCTGTCGTAGGGAAGCGATTTGTGTGGCGACCCGGAAGATGTTTCTCGGCTGTGACGAGTCAACGAATTCTGGCGACGAGACGAGCCGACAGCAGAGGTCGCAACCGGGTACCCGATACCCGGATACCCGTACCCGGCCGGGTACCCTGGTGCGGCCGGGTACGGGTAGGCTTTGAGTCACTGGTGAGTAGCCGTTTGTCACTCATTCCGGGTAGGGTACGGGTAGGATATGGCTACCCGTACCCGGGGTGCGGGTACCCATTTGCGACCCTGGTGCGGCCGGGTACGGGTACGGGTAAGCCGTGAGTCACTGGTGAGTAGCCGTTTGTCACTCATTCCGGGTAGGGTACGGGTAGGATACGGTTACCCGTACCCGGGTATCCATTTGCGACCCTTGTGCGGCCGGCTACGGGTAAGGAATCAAAACCCATTTGCGACCTCTGGCCGACAGGGTGCGCCCCTGTTGAGTCGCAGCTGGGCCAGGAGTTGCCGGCTCGCCAGCGCGACCCCGCGTGCAACTCGGACACTGCAGCCGCCGCTGCTCTACGCAGTCGCCGGTCGCGATGCCGAGACGCGCGGCAGATCGAGGGCATCCCCACGACCTTCCCGGGCCTGCCTTCTCTTGCAGCAACAACAGCCACCCGGAGTTCTTTACAAACCCTCCCACCCCCCCCCCCCCCCCCCCAGCTCTCAAAAAAAACTAAATTTTGTCGCTGCGCGGGGAATGTTGTGCATCCACGCCAGGACGTGCGGCTCCAACCCGAAGTGGGTTATTTCGCCGAATGGAGGTTGCCCCATTCAGTGGGGTTATTTTTTTGGGGGGGGGACGTCTGTGCTAATTTCTTAACGCAAGAGGTATTTTTTTTGCACCAAACCGGTGGGACTGGGAGAACAGACAGAGAGAGAGAGAGAGCGAAACCACTGGACACAAGAATCCGACGAAATGCGACCAGCACGAAATGCGGAACAGCACGCGACAGAAAGGAGGTCAGACACCGGAAACGCGGCCACGACATCGCGGTGCGTAAAATCAACACGAGCCAGCCTTCTCCAGCCATACATTGCAATGAACGCGATACATTTATTCTGTTGTCGTTGCAACGTGCCCAAAAGCGATGACGTACAAACACACTCACCTCTTGTTTTGCTCCGACGAGGGTGGCACTTTGCTAAGCGCTGCTCAGACTTTGCGTCACGACTGCAAGTGGCTCAGCGGGTGCACAAAGATGCGCACGATGTCACCACGTCCCTTTAAATGTCTTGCCTCCTGGGGTGTCTCTCCGCGGAGAGCAAAAACAGCGGACGTTGACGGCTAAAACGAAATGCGCACAGCGCAAGCGAAACCCCGATTAAAACTTGCTGGCAACGAGGGCTCTCGACGGTGAAGATGCGTGCGCAGCTCCTTGAATGCGTCTATCACGAGCGTGATGCCCGGCTGCGCGTATTCCACCCTCTTATATAGAGTCGCGAGCTCGGAGTGGAAATTTACCGGTGAGAAGCACGTGCCGGGATTGCTTGCAGCCCTGCCCCCCCCACCACCACCAATACACCCCCTTCAACCTTCCCCATCCCTCATTCATCCACCCCACTCACTCACTCACCACCCCCACCTCTCTCTCTCTCTCTCTAAACCCAACGCCCATCGGCATTGTGAGCAAGCTATGCCATGCCCGGCCATCAGCCCTGTCGGTATTGCCGACGGCGGGACACATCACAACAGCAACAGCAGCAGAGTCGGTGGCATAAGCAGAGAAGTGTCATTTGTTTTCGAATTCGGCATTACACCCCCCACCCACGCTACCATCGATATCGCAAAGAGCTGCGATGCCTCCACGTGAATACGAGACGGCGGGGTCCCGAGTTAAGGATAACGGGTCACGCAGCAGTTGCTTTAAAACAATCGTTGTGGTTACCGTGTTTCAGATCGCGTTGAACGCACACAACACAAACACAAATGACTTCCCTTCACCACGGAAGCTGCCCCACGTACGGTTGTGTTGTAGTATAATTATCACGGTCGCCATTCATCATCATCATCATTGTCGTCGTCGTCATCATCAGCGGCAGTCTCGCACGGTCTTACGACCATGCATCTCGATCGTGCACAGGAGGGGATGACCCACCTCGCAGTAGAATTATTTTTTTAATTTGTGATGATCTTTTCCGGTACTAAATGTTATTGACGCGTTATGTGGGCATGCGTGATCACGATGATCACATATACTGTAGGAAGCATTGCAAAATATTTTTTGTGAGCGTGCAATGAATCACTGATATATTGCAGATGCATTGGTGCTGTAAAATTCCACTCCCATCCAATGCCCCCCTCCTTCTCCGCCCCTACCACCACCACCACCACAACCGCTCAGTGATCCAATGCATTCCTGCGATTTAATTTGAATGGATAAAAAAATGTTGCAAGCACTCTGGTGAATCCATAAGAGGCTTTTTTTGGGTTAGATCGCGTAAATAAAAACGTGGTTGTTAAACCCGCCACCACCGGACACAGACAATTTGTCACTTAAAAACAAAACAATGTAAACGACTTACAATTGTAAATGCAAGTGGGTTTACTCTCCAACACACCGGTATGCTGTATTCAGTAACGAATTTGGCACGTTTTGTTTACGTGACAAACCTCACGAATTGGCTATGTCGGGTGGTGGTGGGTTTAACGACACATTTTCGCGATCTAACCCTAAAAAAAAACCTCTATTATGGATAATATTGGTCGCGAAAGCTTTACTACGTAGCGGCCTCTAGTGGCTGCAAGGGGTTTGGGTCACGCGCGCTCAATGGGGACCGTAAAAGATTCGTACGCGCGCGCGATTCCATTGATCGCGGCGTCGTGCGATAGAGGAAATCATTTCTGAGTCGACGTTTCGTGTAGCTCACCGACGCGCGTGTTTCTTGCACGGCGTCCGACGTTTCGCTCGCCCGCCCGCTGCTGCCGGGAGCTTCGCTCCGGTTGCCGGAGCGACTCCCAACCGCGAAAAAAAAAAGTCGGAGAGCTTTCCGGCACGACCGCGAAAAGCGAACGCCTCTCCATACAACAACGCGGTCCAACTTGGCCCCAGCCACGCCCGTCCACCGCACCCCACCACCCCCAGGTAACAATGGTGCTAGGCGTAGTCGGCAGACGAATTCGGTTCAACGGGGTTCATAGCGCCAACATAAAGTGGGATGGTCACCAGCACCTATACACGCACAGCAGTCATCACGTCATTGCAGTGCCGTATGTGGCATTGATGTCAGCCGAAGCTAGATTGTAAAACAAACTTTCAATAACAAAAGCGATTCAATAACAATAATAAACAGAGGGGCTGGGCCCAAACCGCATAGAAGCTAAGTTCGAAATCCGGGTATCAGCCGCTCCCTAATTAAGCGGCTTCTCAAGTTGTATAGAGTTGATGGTCTCAGCCTGGTCACATATGATTGCACACACACACACATGGATACATTCCAGCTCTCAGAATTATAAACAGCAACACATCATTGTTAAACTAAGCCGGCCGGCATGCAGCTGTTTTCGTGAGATCTCGAACATTCTAAGCGAGGGTGAGCCTCGGAAGTTGGCGCTTGATGCTTTAATCACGCGTTTATTATTCATTGCATGACACCGTTTAGTTCAATAACGTATCATTCGTGTTGTTGTTTACATTGCGCCGGTCGCTTTCGTTCAGTCCCGTAGAGCACTTTGCATTGCATTCTTTGCGCGACATTGTGCTGCGACAGGTAACGTTGCATCTTAATTCGAAGCTTTCGTGGCTGCAGGAATTCACACTCGTCATGCTCTGTGTAGGAAACGTCAAATCGAGCGATTGAAGCGACGCGTGCTATTGTGTGCGTTCACGTTCCGCGGACGCGCAATAGCCGACCTCGCCCATTCACGTTTTGGGGCCGCTCGAAGTCCCCCGGCTTAGGAAATTTCCACTTGAAGGTTTTTCGAGGCCGAGTTTATTGGGGCGGGGGGGGGGGTGATGTTTCGTGTGGTCCCAAGACACACGCGCGCCCTCACGGGGGGGGAGGGAGCGGTGGTGGTGCGGTTAGCGCGCTGCGCTACTGAACCCGGGTGATCCGGGTTCGAATCCCGCTCACGGCCACCAACACCAGTGACGATTATCTGAACCGGTCCTGGGCCTCCCTCTAGGTGGACTCGGCCTCAAAATGAGTACCTGGTGCAGGTGTGTAAACATCGCCATTGGGGAGACAAAGGCTGCCCGAGCGTGGTGCTGGCCACCCACCCCCTCGTGTGCCGTTGCCGGCCTTCATAGGTGCTGCTCGCTACCAGCACTTGCCCCGACACACTCTCGAAGCACCACGCCCGATGTTTCTCTACCCCCCCCCCCCTCCGGTGTTCTCACGCATTTGCCGTGGGCACCCATGGCCGCACCCCTTCCAAATTTGGCAGCGGACAACCGAATTAATTCTCACGGTGCATTTTTTATGGACTTATTATTAAAGTTGACATTCTTGGGGGTTGTTTTGTTTTTAAATTCTTCTTATTCTTCTTCTGAAAGCAATGGCATTTGCCCCAGCCCGTCCGTCAGCGACTTGTGTATGCCTGGTGAATCATCCGACTCGCACGCCTTTGTTGCGCTGCGGATGAAGAAACGACGTGGGGACATCGTTTGGCAGATGCGTGCACGTGAATCCCCACCATTTTGTGGTTATGTTTAACCGAGGAAAAAACAAAAACATTGGAACGGAGGATAATATACGGGATTGATTAGAAATCATGTCCTGTACGTGTAAGATGATCCACATATCCTTGTCTCTCGCGAGTTTTTACCTGGTTAAACAAAACAGAAACTTGAACGCATCACTTCTCGTGAATTGTATAAACAAATTGAGACAAACGGCGAATTTGCAAGTGAGACCTGGAATGCAAAAAAGCATTGGGCGCTCAGTGGTAAATAAAAAAAACAGACAACCACAAAAACCAAGATGTAATATGTTTTTGTTTAACTTATTTCGCACCGTACGTAACCAACCGTGCTAATCGGAGTTGCGGGTGGGGACACACGAAAAAAATAAGCGCAAAAAGCAGTTCTAAAGATGTGGACATGAAATTTCTGTCAGCAAAGAAGACCATAGACCACTCCCAACCCATATATGGAAATCACCCATCAAGTAGATTGATTGGGTGGGTCAGTGGTATCGCAAGTTTAAGTCCTGGTTGGGGGGGTTGACTTAGCCCATCATTCATTTGGGGTCGATATAATAGATACCATTTTGTGGGGGGAATCAACAATAATGTGGAACTTCCACGAATAGCTGAGTGCTGCGAACGGAAAATGAGGACCAACGTCAATGCTCATTTGAGAATATCAAATGAGTTTTCCATCTAGATTATTTAAAAGTGCCAAAGCTCCAGTGGTTTCCTAATATCGGAAGGAAGAGGATTCCAGACATCCGCAGAAGCGAATCCGAAAGTGCAGGATGCGGTGACCGTCTTTGTTCGATGGCTGGCCGAAAGCTGCTGTGAGGGTGACCGAAGTTTGCGTGATGGTTTATGTTCCTTGACGAGATCAGCAAGGTGTGGTTCATTTGAGGCGTGGATCCCATTCACGGGCCTTACCCGATCCACCAAAGCCCATAATGCAGGTGGATGCATTCAAATGTGTGTTTGAGGAGTGGTAGTGTAGCGATTAGCGCGCTGCGCTACGAACCCGGCCACCAGAGTTCGATTCTTGCTCACGGTCAACACCAGTGACGATTATATGAACCGGTCCTGGGCCTCCCCTAGGTCGACTCAGCCTCAAGTGAGTACCTTGTGCGGTGTGTAAACATCGCCACTAGGGAGACAAAGATGGCCCGGGCGTGGTGCTGGCCACCCACCCCCTCGTGTGCCGTGCCGGCCTTTATAGGTGCTCGCTAACAGCACTTACCCCTAGTCTGTTAAGGCTATACGGGGGATCTTTGTCTTTATCGCCACCACACCTAGACAATTGTCCTGTCGGCACACCGGGTCGTAGGGGCACTGTCATGATCCGCGCTGGATGACACCCTGGCCGTCG